CACCAGCCTGGTCGTGGCGGGCGGCTGGCCGAGTCCCCCACCCCGGGCCGTAGGTAAGCCGAGGTGAGGGAGTTGTGGTCCCCCCCTCCTAGGCCGGCCTGGGCCCCTCCGGCCCGGTGCCGGAAACACGCCAGGTGAGGCCAGAATGACCTGCTCAGCGGCCCGTGGCCGCCACTCACCCCGCTGTGGACCTTTGCTCCGCCCTTCACAGCCGGCGGTGGCGGTCTCGCCCTGGCGTGTGGCCGAGGAAACCCGCAGCTGGCGGGGCCCGCAGCCGGGGACAGACCGCGAAGGCTGGCTCTGCCTTGACACTCAGTCCGTCTGGGAAGAAAGCAGCCTCGCGGAGGAGAGCAGAGGAGTCTGCTTCCTGCTGGTGTGCAGTTTAAAACGGACCTTGTTTTGTGTCACTTCTGCATAATGTGAAATCTGATGAGGCATGACTGTTATTTTAGCCATCTTTCATAGGATTTGCATGTGTGACAAAAACCAAGAACACGAGCGGGCTTGCTCGGCTCTCCCAGACGGCCCTCCCACCCTTCTCTTCACCGCCGGGCCGGTGGGTGGGTGGCGGATGAGAAGCTAAGAACTTGAGGGCCTAGTAAGCGCTTTGAAACCCCCTAGGGCGGTGGTTCTCAACCTTCCTAATGCCGCGACCCTTTAATAAAGTTCCTCATGTTGTGGTGACCCCCAATGTCATTGTTACACATTGAACATAATGAAAGCACAGTGATTAATCACAAAAACAACATGTAATTATATATGTGTTTTCCGATGGTCTTAGACGACCCCTGTGAAAGGGTCGTTCGACTCCCAAAGGGGTCGCGACCCCCAGGTTGAGATCCGCTGCCGTAGGGTCTGGGGGACACCCGCCTACCCCAGGGCAGGAGCTGAGAGAAGAGGTGGCCAGTGGGACTGGGCAGAGTGAAAACTCAGAGAATGGTTTAGTCCAATGGTTCTCAACCTGTGGGTCGCGACCCCTTTGGGGGTCAACGACCCTTTCACAGGGGTCGCCTAAGACCATCGGAAAACACATATATAATTACATGTTGTTTTTGTGATTAATCGCTATGCTTTAATTATGTTCAATTTGTAACAATGAAATTGGGGGTCACCACAACATGAGGAACTGTATTAAAAGGTCGTGGCGTTAGGAAGGTTGAGAACCACTGGTCTAGCATGTTTACCAAAGGCCCAGGGTGGGCTGAGGTCTGCACAAGGCCCTGGCATGCAGCAGGCACAAGAGACACGGAAAAGTGACCCCTTTCCTTCTGGCCATGCCGCGAGAAAAGGCCTGTTTAGGGTATCAGAGGAGCCTGACCCATGGAGCCAGAACAGACGTAGGAAAGAGCTGAGGCCCCACCACCACCACCACCAATCCCAGGCTCAACCAGCAGGTTGCTGCCTCTAGGAGTCGTTGGCTTCCCCTGGGGAGTCTAGGCTCCTCTGCATAAACTGCCTCAGTTCCTTCTGCTACACACACTGAAGGACTTTTTTTTTTTTTTAATATATTTTATTGATATTTTACAGAGAGGAAGGGAGAGGGACAGAGAGCTAGAAACATCGATGAGAGAGAAACATCGATCAGCTGCCTCCTGCACACTCCCCATTGGGGATGTGCCCACAACCAAGGTACATGCCCTTGACCAGAATCAAACCTGGGACCCTTGAGTCCACAGGCCGACGCTCTATCCACAGAGCCAAACCGGTTAGGGCCCCACTGAAGGACTTAACGGCCAACACAGCCATCCTTCCTTTTGCTCTATCAGAAGTAGGTTCTCTCTCGCCTCCAGGGATAAACCTGCCCACCCGGTGCTGTGGATCCCTTCCCTGGGGAACCTCCTGCCTTTGTTCTCTGTCTCCTGAATGTCCATCTTACCCCTCTTCCCACTGTGAGTTTCTCTACTTCATGTCACATTCAGAGGCTGACACGGGCCAAATAAACAAGGGTGCAGCGGCCCGGCGGCTCCTCATGCTGCTGCAGCAGCAGTGTGGCCTTCCAACCCAGCAGCCCAGCTGTGGGCAAACTACGGCCGGATCCGGCCCGCGGAGCCGAAAGAGCGGAGGGTTCTCTTGCTCTCCCCTCCGCTCCTTCACCAGCAGCAGTGTTAACATGTATTAGTTCACACAAACACTCCATCCATGCTTTTGTTCCGGCCCTCCGGTCCAGTTTAAGAACCCATTGTAGCCCTCGAGTCAAAAAGTTTGCCCACCCCTGCATCAGCCCTTTTGAACTCTCAGACCACTGGGTCTCAGCCTCCCACCTGATGGAGTGGCTGGCCTTTGTCAATAGTGCAAAAAAACCCAAAAGCTTCAATGTTCATAGAAACGTAGGTTTATTTTCATAGAGACATCCTGAACACAAAGGACTAATGACATGGCAATCGGCTCCTAAAATATTTGCTGCTAGTATTAGTGGAGAGAAATGGTGCGCCTGCGTGTAAGGCGTGTAAGGGAAATGAATTCAATACTATTATAGTAATCATTAGTGAATGCTGTAGTTCGTTATTAATGAATAGAGGCTCAGTGCATGAATTCGTGCACAGGGGGTCATCTTGCCCAGTCCCGACAGGGACCGTGGGAGGTTGGCCAGCGTGGGAGGGCTCCAGGGCGTGTCCAGCCCATCTTGGCCAGTCCTGATCTGCCCCCAGCAGCAACCTGTTGGAGTATCTGCCCCCCTAGTGGTCGGTGCGCATCATAGCGACTGATCAAGCTGTCAACCGAATGGTCAAGCGGTTGGTCAGACACTTAGCATATTAGGCTTATATATATAGCTTATGTATAACAGGATATTGTAAAAATTAAATTATGAAATTTTTATTAAAAGTTTCTTACATACCTTTATATTGGCTGGGCTGCAAAAATATTCATTGTGGACCGCAAGTTTGACATGCATGCTCTGCTTAGAGACACAGCCAAGCCTTTGCCCTCCCATCCCAAAGCGTAACCCTCCCTTCCCACCACTACTGGCATTGCAAGTACCACTTATTCCACAGCCCGGGGCTCCAGCTTCATCCACTGACCTTTGACCTTATCGATCCTTTCTGGAAAACCTCCTGGCTTCCCTAACATCACTTTATGTTTTTCTTTGTCTCCCTCCTTTGCCTGTCAGTCATCTTTGAAGTCTGCTCATTCTCCACCCTCCCCACAGTGTCGGCATTGCCGGGGCAACCACTCTCCAGTCTTTCCCTCTGGCATTTTCCTGCAGTTTCTAAGGAGACTTTTACATGGATCCATATCTTTGGCTCAGAGCATTTTCCCTCCGTTTCTAAGGAGACTTTTACATGGATCCATATCTTTGGCTCAGACCTGTCTCCTGACCCATGTATCTGTCACATCTATTCCTGAAGATTTGTTACAGAAGAACCTTAAAATCAGTATCTCTAAAACTGAACTATATTAATCATAAGGGAATCCCTTTGTATCTCTTCCTTGTCCTCCATCTCTACTCAAGCAGAATGTGCCTCCTGAATAGCTCTTCAAACGTCCCCTCCCCTCTAGTCCCTCTGCATTACCTGCTCCAGCCCTTACCTCCTGCTTCCCAGAGCCGAGCCTCCAGTGTGGCCCCGCTGCCGGGTGTGCAGCCCGCCCGAGAGTCTTCGTCTTGTAGCTGTCCTCAGATGTGTGTTTGTCACCTGTTGTGAGAAGTGTCACAGTAACTTCTCACTAATAAAATGCTGAATATTTTATATTCATTGAGTTTCAGCGTTGGCTTTTTACAGTGTCAGCCTCACTATCATCTGATGTGCTTCAGTGGAAGAGAATGGTGATTACGTGGCAGTGACTGCATAAAATCCTGGATCTACCCAGGAGATAAGGATCCTGAAGCAGCAGCCTAAAGTATGCGACTCCTTACAAGACTGAATCTGAATTCCACTATCATAGACTAGATTGACCTCAAGGTCAGCCCGAGGCCCCCTCCACAGCACCTCCCACCACTTGCCTTGCTTCTGTGCCATGAGCCCATTTCCAGGATGTCTTCTTGTCATGAGCTCCGAGTGCCAGCAGGAAGTTACTCTCCTGTATTCGAATCTTTAGGGTACGGTGCTGACTCATAGTAGACACCGTGGAACCTGGGCTCTTGCCCCTAATTTGTTCTAGAAGGCTGTTAGAGAAGCGATTTTTTTCCATTATAAATAATATAAATTGAATTCGTTCCAGACCCCCAAAATGATTCCCCATTAACAATACAGTACATGCCTAATGTATTGTTTAATCTGTAAATAAACACTTCTTAAATTTACCAAACTATCCCCTACTAGCCTTAAATGAATTTTTCATATATCACTGCCTCTGAAATGCTATCACCAGCTAACTGCTTTTCATTTATCCAATCAACAACAGTTTTTCTGCCTTTTCAATTGTCTGTGATTGTTGTTTTGTGAGCACTTCCACACCCTTAGCAACATTAGCACTTTTAAAAATATTTTTAAAAATTTATTTCAGAGAAAGGGAGTGAGAAGCATCAATAATGAGAGAGAATCATCCATCAGCTCCCTCCTGCACACCCCCTACTGGGGATCGAGCCTGCAACCCAGGCATGTGCCCTGACCTGGTTTATGGGTCTATGCTTAACCACTGAGCCACACCGGACCAGGCACAATATTAGCACTCTTGATGGCCTTTGTCTGCTTTTAAAGTTGTGCTAATCCTCGATTTCAACAGCAACAAAAGCATTCTCTACTTAGTTGCCTAAGAGATGCTTTTTGTCATGCTCACGTATCAGTATGAAAGGGTTGTCAGGTCAAAAACACATTTTGATTGAAAACTAAAACATTTTTTTTCTATGAACAACTTGGTTGAGAACCGAATAGTTTGAGATAGGGGACATTTGAGAAACAAGGTGTGATTGTATTTGATGATTTTTTATAATTGATCTGTAGAATACAGATAACTTGAGGGAACAAGGCTAATGGGGGAACAAAATGGGATTGGTGTGGCCCTAACACGCAGGATCTTTCCTTTTCTCTACCATCGTCGGTGAGGGCAGGGCACATGCAGGCCTGGTTTCAGTATCTGGTTCTGTGTTCCCGGTAATGAGGAAGCCTGCAGATTGCTTCTGGAGGCCCAGTGCCAGCTCTAGTCTTCCGCTCTGCCACTGACCCAGAGTGGTAACTGACCATCACGTTACCACTCTGGGTTTCTGTTTCTTCAATCATAACATAACTGAGGGAAGTCCCCTCCAGTTCTCACATCCTAGAGCACTTTTTCTGGGACCAGGATAGTGTCTTGCATCTCATTCGTACCTTTATTCAGCCGCTCCACAGTGTCACCTTCCAGGGGGATTCAAACGTGATCTGGTGTAAATAATGTAAATTGAATTAATCCATTCTAGACCCCCAAAATGATTCCCCATTAACCTTTCTTATATATAATACATGCCTAATGTATTGTTTAGTCTGTAAATAAACACTTCTTGCCCTGACCGGTTTGGCTCAGTGGAGAGAGCGTCGGCCTGCGGACTCAAGAGTCCCAGGTTTGATTCCGGTCAAGGGCATGTACCTTGGTTGCGGGCACATCCCCAGTAGGGAGTGTGCAGGAGGCAGCTGGTTGACGTTTCCCTCTCATCAATGTTTCTAACTCCCTCTCTCTTCCTCTGTAAAAAATCAATAAAATATATTTTTAAAAAAATTAAACACTTCTTAAATTTATCGAACTACCCCCCACTAACCTTAAATGAATTTTTCATACATCACTGCCTCTGAAATGCTGTCATGAGCTCTTGCATGATGGGCATGAGGCCATTGCCTCTTACTCCTTCTGAGGCTCTTCCAGCTGGAGGGAGCCTCTCAGTGTGGCATTGCCCACACTCCTGCCTGGGCAGAGTCCCACATGAGCCCCTTCAGTGGGCTTGTCACCTGCAGAGGCAGTCCTGCATCCCTGGTGATCCTTAATGGTCAGTGTCACTCAGGGTCAGAATGTACTGGTTTTAAATCTTGTTTAGCCAGCATTTCATTCTGCTCTGAAAAGAGGAAGACTATTTCCTTCCTGAAGTTTCTTAAATCCTCTTTCTCTGAATCTTCTCTCTCCTGAGGAAACATCCTACCTCAGTAGGCTCTTTCAATTTCCTTTCTTCTCTCCACATATTTCTCTTCTGATGTCTTCATGTCACTTTCCTTTTGAAAGCTCTGGATTTGACCTAATCTCCAGGAAAATGAATGAGGGGGAAGGAGTTAAGGATTATGCCTAGGTTTGGGGTCTGAGCATCTGGGTGGACAGATGTCTGTTTGAGTTGGCTGTAGAAAGAGCAGGTGAGCCAGAGAGAGGCTGGACAGTAGCTGGTGTGTAAATGCAGTCCCAGGTGGGGAGAAGGTGTGGAATGAGAGAAGATAATCTCTCAGGAAACATCATTAAGGGATAGACAGAGGGAAAAGGACCAGAATCTGAAGAGGAGGTGCAGATGAGAGGAAAACCAAGAAAATGTGTCCCAGGGCTGTGAGGAGACAGTCTCCAAACGGAGGCCGTGGGCAGGTGCTTCAGTTACAGAAAACTCCACTGGGGTCACTGGGGGCCTTGGCAAGAGTAGTGACTAGGAGCAGTGGGGGCCAGAGACAGAGATGAGAAGATTTTGAGGGGAACAAGAGGTGACAAACTATAACTATCCCTTCAAGAGTGTCTCTGACAGAGAAAGGAGAATGAGAGGACATGAGGGGGCCAGAGTCACTGGCATTAGGAGCTATCCCACCCTGTGTTCTCTGCTGGAGGATGACTTTTAGAGAAGAAATGTCAAAGGAGTTGAGCCAGGCCTTTGGCCTAGGAAGTCTCAGGCTGCATCACCCCTGAATGAGCTGTGTTACCTATTTCTGGTGGCCCGCCGTCTGCCAGGTACAACCAAGTGCTCAGGATGCAGAGGCTGGTAGGCCCTGCCCCCTCCTGGCTTGCACTTACAGTCTCTGGTGCCTGCGTCTCTATAGGGAAACATGACTCCTTGGCAAGGTCATTCTCCCTGAGGTCTCCCAGCCTTGGCGCCTGCCTCTTCATACTATATTCCCGCGCTGATTCTACCTGTTGTGAGTGAATCTTATTCAGGTCTGTCCCTACATATGCATGTAGTGGCCTTGCCTGCTGTATATTGTGTCCACCACACAGGAGAATTGCCAAGTGCGCACTAGGTTCTCAATAAACATTGAGAGAAAAAAGAGAAACACCAGTTAGTTTGGCAAAGAAGGTGGACACAGAAACCACTAATGTGCAGAGCGCTGTGGGGATTTGAGCTGAGAGCTGCGCCATTGGGTCTGGGGAGTGAATGGCAGCCTTCTCCAAGGAGGTTGAGGTCTTGAGAGTTTTGTCTTGGGGCTGATTTCATATTATCTCTACACCTTTTGTCCTCTGCTGTCTTCTCTCCCCTCAGGGCCTCACCTTCCCCCTCAGTGTTCTCCAGAGGAGTAGGGCAACTCAGAGCCATTCTTTTCATCTTGCTTTGCAGACTGGGCCCATCTTGTTTCCCCAAGTTCCCACGCATGTTGGAAGTGGAAAAAATTAAAAAGCCCCCCCAGGAGACATACACCCTCAGGATCTGTCCCCCCATGACCAGACCCCAGAGTCCAGCTGCCACAATGACTTCTCCTGGCTCTGAGTTCAACACCAGAGCTACCAACACCTTTTGTGGACGTGGCTGGGGTGCCAGGGAGGACCTGCCAGAGACTGGGGTCAAAACCTCAGCCCTGGTCTGTCCCCTGGGGTAGACACGGAGGAGAAGGCCAACAGTGGTCGCAGAAAGATCAGACCGTCTGGCTCCCAAAGGGGAGTGGGGGATCTTCCCCTGCGAAGGAAGAGACCCCACTTCCTCCCGAGCGGCTTTTCGGTCGCCTCACTGATCAAGTTTCCCTGGAGGAGCAGGAGGAAGGCACCTTGGGCCAATGCATCCGCAGCAGGAAGAGAAGAGCCTGCACACGGGGGAGGCCTGGTTTTCACTCAACTAGTGCAAAGAGCCAGGCCAGCCGGGGGCAGAATAGGCCAAAGGGAGACTGAACTCTGTGTTGTAAAATCTGGGCTTGGGCAGGAGCCCTCTGTGCAGCCTGAGGAGGTGTCCAAACAGAAGGCCCGTCAATGGAGAGAGGTGAGGCAACTGGCAGGAAAGAAGTCAAAAGCCCCACAGCTCAGCTCTAGCCCGGCCCCTTCTACCCCAGTGATGGGTCAGAGGTGGGCCAGCCTAGTGAGAATGAGAAGGTGAGGCAAGCTGACATCCTCAGGGCCTGTCTGGACAGAGAGGTACGATGCCTCAAGAAGTGGAAGAGGCATTTGCTTCCTAGTGGGGAGAAGTCATCCCTGCTGAGCCTCCAGCAGTCACCCTGCTTGAAGAAGCTGGTCAGAACTATGAAAGAGACCAAGGACTGGGTTTCTCAAGGGCATTCCCCAGGCACTCCAGACACCCAGGTCAGAAGCCCGCGTTGGATGTCAGACGGTTCTTTCCCATTGACTGTAAGAACACCTGCCAAGTCACCTGTACTCTGTGTCACGCCACCATTAGACAAGGCAAAATTAAGGGGCAGTCCAAAACCTCAGGCCTGGTGTGTCCCCTGGTGAATAAGAATGGGCTGGGGAGGGAAAGAAGGCCAATTGCAGCCAGTCCAGGGAGAAGGGGCAGGGGTGGTGGAGAAGCAGAAGGGCCTACCTGCAAGGGCCACCAGCCTTGTCCACGAGGGTCTCCCATCATCAGGACATTGCCCACACGACATCCCAGAAAACAATGACAGGCAGTGGGCCCCAGGGAGGCGTGAGCACTGTTACTGACTCACACCCTGCCTTCCGCCCATCAAAGATGAATCTGCTGCTCCCCCAGTGGCAGTCAGGACCGAGGTGGCATATATGTTCCCAAACCCTCCCGTTCTCAGGCCTTGCACCAGAGCATTGCTGAGTTACTCTGCAGCTTGGCATTGCCTCTCTCCTTTTTTCCTTCCGTGCCCTTCAAAAGGTTTATGACCCAGGTTGACCCTTGCTACTACCTGCCATCTCCATCCTCTGATAAAGCCTTGCCTCTGCTCCGCGAGGCGATGGGCGACCAGGTGCTTCGGGAGATGCAGTGGACTGAAGGCAGCCACATCCACCTGGCCCTGTCTCCGGCAGCTCAGGAAGTGGTCCTAGAGGACTCTGTGGCCATCACTGCCCACTGTGGGGGGTGATACAGCCCCATAGCTGTCAGGCGGTGTCAGGAAGCCCCAGGAAGCAAGCAGTGCTCTGGGTCCGAGGCCTGCCCCTGGAGAGCACTGGAGGACAGGCAGCAGGAACTACAGGAGCAGCTCACCCTGTAGCTGGGCCATGACTCCCTGCAACCAGGCTGCCCAGTATCAAGCGGCTGCCCCAACCTGGAGCAGGCAGTGGCGATGGGGGGCTACACCCACATTCCTTGCTTTGCTCACTGCTTCAACTCTTAGGTGAGAAATTTTCTGTGTCACCATCATAGTGTCCAGATCATCCAGATGGCACAGCCAGGCCATCTGCAACCATTTCCAAGGCTCTGCAGAAGCCCGGAGGCTCCTCATGCAGCTGCAGCAGCGGTGTGGCCTCCCACCCATCAGCCCTTTTGGAAGCTCTCAGACCACTGGGTCTCAGCCTGCCACCTGATGGAGTGGCTGGTGGAGCACAAGCGGCCACTGCGGGAGTATGGGGAGAAGCACCAGCTGGGGAAGGCCAGGTGGCCCTTTCAGCCATGTTTTGGAGCCTGTCGGAAGCCTGATCAGGCTTCTGCGGCTCTCCCAGATGGTGGTCCAGGAGGCGAGCAATCTGCCGGCTTCTTTAAGTCAGGGGCTGCCGAAACTGCGCTCCCAGCACATCTTCCTGGAGCAGGATCAGAGGCACTTTGAGGAGCAAAGAGGTGGGCAGATGGGTGCAGCCATCCAGTTGGCCCTGCTGCTCTGTACAGACTGTCAGCTCAGTGAGCTCTTCCACCATGAGGAGTTCATGCTGGCGACTCTACTGGACCCCCGCTTCAAGGGCCAGATTGAGGCCATCCTGCCTGTGGGGGCCGACATTGACCACTGGAAGCAAGTTCTCATGTGCAAGGTGAAGGAGGTTATGGTGTCTGAATACTCCTTGTCTCCCCCACCCTTCCTGCAGAACCCCAAGGTTATGTGGACACCACCTGGAGTGGCAGTGTAGCCAAGGGCCCCGGGGCTGAGGGGAAGGGCCAGAAGGAGCCTGTGTGCAGAAGCAGTAGATCTGGGTCTTTGCTGCTGGGCCAGAGGGAACATAGCTTGCTGGAGCAGCTGGAAAGTGTAGGGCGGCTAGCATCCCAGAGAGACAGAGCTTCACTCCCCACCGAGAACCACCTGCCACAGTCATTGTCAAGAAGTACCTGTGTGAGAACAAGACAGTTGGCGCCCAGGAGGACCCCTTGGCTTACTGGGAGAAGAGGCAGGAAGTCTGGCCTGCCCTGGCAAAACTGGCCACTGTTTCTCTGTCCTGTCCTGCTACCAGCACCTTTTCTGGAAGTGTCTTTGCCTCCCTGGATAGTCCCACCATCATAGAGAGTAACTCCCCTCTCCCAGTGGAAACAGTTGAGCATCTCTTCTTGAAGACCAATCTGGAGAATTTCCCCAACTGTGCCCCCTCTCCTCTTATCTTCCCCAGTGGGGACCTGGCCTAGGGGGACTAGACCAGGGATGCCCTCAAAATCTGCCTGGAGACACTTTGCTGTAGATGAAAGGAGAGAGCAGATGTTGCATCTAGGCTATCAGACAAGGCAGCCAGAATCTTAAGCCCATTTGAGAGGAATGGGGACAGTTTCTCAGTTCTTTGTTTGTTTGTTTGTTTTATATATTTTTTATTGATTTTTTACAGAGAGGAAGGGAGAGAGATAGAGAGTCAGAAACATCGATGAGAGAGAAACATCGATCAGCTGCCTCCTGCACATCTTCCACTGGGGATGTGCCCGCAACCCAGGTACATGCCCCTGACCGGAATCGAACCTGGGACCTCTCAGTCCGCAGGGCGACGCTCTATCCACTGAGCCAAACCGGTTTCGGCGTTTCTCAGTTCTTGACAGATTGCCTTGTTTATTTTTTTTTGGTCTGGAAGGTAGGATTTTCCACCTACCCATTGCTTAATTTATTTCTAGCACTATGTGCATAGGGAAGGTTTACCCTGTTATGCTATACAGTTTTATAAGCATTAATGCTCTTTTGAAATATTGGTAGTTATTAAGGGCCCAACATGCAGCTTATCTATGTATGTCAAGGTATACTTGCCCTTAGAGTTCTGCTTTTTCTCTTTTTTAAATCCTCACCCGAGGATATTTTTCCATTGATTTTTAGAGAGAGTGGAAGGGAGAGGGAGAGACAGAAACATTGATGTGAGAGAGACACATCGATTGATTGCCTCCCACACATGCCCTGACCAGGGCCAGGGATTGAAACTGCAACAGGCACATGCCCTTGACCAGACGCTAACCTGGGACCCTTCAGTCCCCAAGCTGATGCTTTATCTATTGAGCCAAACTGGCTAAGGCGAGGTCTGTTTTCTCTTGAGACAGGGACAAGGGTTGTGGGGTGCTGGCATATATACTCAGTGGGATATATATTCAGCCACGTGGGTGAGTTATGAAAGCTCTTTCTGAAACTGCTTTCACGTAGAAAGAAATAAACCCTGAGATAGAGTAGTCCTTTTAAGAGGGAGGTATATGCACGCAGTCTTCTTAGGGTCTGTACTTTTTCCTCTTAGACCCCATGGTGGCTGGAGAACTCTGATTAATAGGACTGCCCAGCTACTGAAGAAGAGTGAATTGAGGAGGGCTGAGGCACTCATTCTTTAGACTGTTTTTACCTATAGTTTGTTTCCACACTGCTGGAGACCTGGGGTTTCTTCTTTTCTATGGTGTTAGCTGTCTCAGAAAGCTCCCATGCTCACCAGGCTCTAGGTGGCTAAGTATATATTTCACCCACACGTCCCCTTGTCCCTGGCCACTTCTAGAGGTCAAGTCCCTATCTGGAAGCCAGAAAGGCTGTGTATCAGACCAACTAGTAATGGACCGCCTAGAGCAGCGGTCACCAATGGGTGGTCTGTGGACCACTGGCGGTCCGTGAGGCCCAAAAGGTTGGTGACCACTGGCCTAGAGTTCCAGCAGGGCAGAGTGCAGGAACTGAGCAGGTAGGATCCAGGAACTGGTGGCTTCAGGTGGGAGAGGAAGGAGGTGGGGAGGGAGACAGTTGGAGCGGGCCTGTCACACCCCACAAGACCCAAATCTGGTTCTCCTGAGGTGCTGGACCACTAGGAGAGGTGGCGCTGAGGGGAAGTAGGTAGAGGCAGGGGGCGGTACTCAAGGCCTAACTTGCACTTTGGCCCTGAGGGTGAACCTGGAGGCCTGCCCCCAGCCTCCCCCAGAGGGGTTGTCAGTCTTGTGTCACTAAGACTGATTCACTTTAGGGCATTTGTAAGTTGCTGAATATGAGGAATCAGGAAAAATTAAACATAATCCTTTCACTCAACCTCTGTTAATACATTGACATACTTCCTTTATTTTGAGATCATACCCCCGGGACTAGTTAGTATTCTGTATTTTCATTTTAATAGTACATAATGTACTACTTATATAAAGCTTTGTAGAGATCACATTTAATGGTTGGAGTAGCATGATTTGAATGAAAGTCTGGCCTCCAGGTTGTGTAGGACATGACTCCTCTCCCCCAGCTGTTAGGAGGGCATGTCACAGACTTCCCAAGGTGAGGCTTGTGGGTGAGTGGCTGGGATTGTGGCTGTACTCCCCCCCCATGCTGACTCCAAATCAAGTGCATTGGGTAGTAAGATCAGGGCATGGGCTCTGGACCTCTAGGTGCCTGCCTCCCTTAAATGTACGTGTGGCTCAGACTTGAATGAGCACCACCTAATAGTGTCTTAAGACCCTGGGGTCCTATCCCTCTTTCCAAATTCTGATGAAGTGGGTTGGGGGTGGGGGCGAGAATGTGATGTGCCTTAAAGTTGCCCTAGGCAGTTCTCAGGAGAGGTGGTGCCCTGTGCTGTTTGGCATCGCTGAACTGGCTCTGGTGTTCTCGGAGAGAGAGAGGCTGGAATGGAGGAGCAGGCATGTGAGGGAGCTGGGGAGTGAAAGGAACATGATGAGACACAAGTGTGATGGTCCTAAGCTTGGGCAGAGCAGTGGTTCTCAATGGGACATTTTTGTTCCTCAGAGGACATTTCGCAATATCTGGAGACATTTTGGTCGTCACGGCTTGTGGGTAGAAACAGGAATGCTGCAGTGAACAAGACAGCCCCACAACACTTAGTGGCCCTGAATGTCAATAGTGCCAGGATTGAACCCTGCTCTAGACTGGGACGTGGAGGAAATGGGTGAGGAAGGTCCCCAGTTCACCAAAGTGGCCTGGTGCCTGTCCCCTGAGGCTGCTCTGGTTTGAACCATTTCTCCCCTAGACTTAGCTCTGCCCTGGCTGGCTCCTGGGCATCATTTTCTGGCCCATTTCCTACATAGGTAAACTGACACTCAGCGGATAGGCCTCCCCGTGAGACCCGAGGGTCATTGTGTCTTAGTCGCTGTCTCATCCGTGTCACCAAGTTCTTGGTGCAGACTCACATGTTGGGCCAAGAGCCTCTGTTGGCCCATTTGCATAACAAGACCAGGAGGACTCCTGTTTTTAGAGAAATGTTGACAGGTGGGGGTGGGGAGTCATTCTCCCATTGTGCAGAGCCTGCTGCTGGCCGGTGCATCACAGCAGGTGGGTTTGGACAGATGGGTAGACCAGACCTGTCTGGTTGAGGTGTACAGGTTTGTGATAAGATGGGGACCATGAGAAGAGCAGAGGTTGTTGCACAGGTGGGACACGTGGTGCTGTTGTGTAACCGCAGGCGACGGGGTGATACCCACGGATGCTGGAGGGCATGGGTCTTGGTAGGCCTGATTTCTAGCTTCATCATGATCTTTCTGCCCCACTATTTCCTCTTCTGTGAAAAGCCTTCATCCCAGCTTTAAGGTGGGATGCAGACACAGAGTTCTCTCTGTCTCCCCTGCTCTGCCCACTCCCCTTGATCTTTCTCACCCTTTGTAGCCACCATGTTCATCTGAACAATCACCCAGTTCCTCAGGGCATCATGCCCTCCCCATCACAGGCTGCTGTGGCTCACCTCTGTCTGAGAATGCCCCTGAGTCCAGTGTGGTGTTTGAAGTGTTGATCATCCTCTCCTTGAAAGTTACGATTTCTCCCTCTCGCTGCTCAGCCATATCCTCATTCAGCCTCACAAAGGTTGGTGTCCTGAATTCCGCCCTTGACCTCTCCGCTGTACACCAGTGAATAGTGACCACTTTCATTATCAAATAATGCACGTCTGGGGAGGATTGGGGAGGATATGGAAATTCCTGCAGAGAGGCCTACAGATAATGGAAGAGGCCTGTGTCCCCAAAAGCCTGGCCAGCTGTGCCACACGCTCTCACCAGGCACCTGTGTAGGTCATGCCTTCAGCCTAGAGCATCATCTGTCTCCTAAGCCCAATGCCACATGGTCACCTCAGACAAGGTCTTGCCTCCTAGGCTGTCCCATCTGTGTCCTGAGTGTTTGAGAAGGAGTCCCTGCATCTAGTCACCTGGCCAGATCCGTGCATGTTTTACTATTCTAGACTCTCATCCCCCTGCATCCTCAGTGGGGTCCTGGTCTCACTAGTGCCTTTATGGCAGGTGTCTAGTGCCTCTTGAGCCCCCATGCTCTGGGCCAGAGCAGTTTTATCCAGAGGCACAAGGGACTACCTACTACCTGCTGGCAAAACCCAGCAGATCCTGTCTGTGTAGAGTGAACCAGGTTTCCTAGTAGATGCCTCCAGTCCCTTTTGGAAAGAAATGCGATCGAAATGAGACTTGCTGGAGAGTTGCAGACCAGAGGAGATCTAGATAGAGATGTAGGGACCCCCTTCTCAGAGATGGGACTGGGAGGGTAAGCGCTGTTAGTAGCCTTCCCAGCTTCCTGGCAGAGGAAGGGGAGGAGCTCTGAGCCTGGTTTCCTTGGAGAGGGGAAAATATTAAGTGGCCTTGATTATGGAAATGCAGACTTGGGAGTGTTGACACTCTGGGAGGCCCAGGTTTTGTCAACAGGAGTGAATGGTTCCATAGTTCTTTGCAGGCGTCAGTACATGGCCTGGGCCTGACCAAAGTCTGCAGAGTTGGGAAACTGCCATTTGGAGCAGAGGTCCCTTCTTGTTTTCCTCTGCTGAAACCTTGACCCCTCTGTGGGCGGCAGGACCCTCCCCAAGGCCTCCTCCCTCAAGCTCGTTCTGCACTGGCACCTGGGCTGCTGCTGTCCCACAGCCACTGGTGACTTGAAATGCCCCTACCCTGCCTTTCTGGAGCCAACTTTGGTGCCACCCTGCCCCTCCCTCCAGGATGGTCCCCACCTCTCCGCCTCCTTGCTTTCTTTGGAGATGATGTCATGTTTGCAGCCGGAACAGTGACTGATGCTGTTCTGTTGACACCAGAGTAAAGGACTAGTGTGGACAGGTGTGGTGAGCATATTTGGAGCAGTGGCGTGGAGTGCACGAGGTGAGGTGGGGGTCCGGCAGTGTTGCCTCTTATCCCCAGGCCTACCATCCCTTTCTTCCTTCTTCTCTAGTTTCCTGTCTAGGACCGAAGGCTGGTCCTCTGAAGGACCAGAGGTTAGAAACTGGCCCACATAATCTAGAAACCATTTTGAATTTACATTTTAAAAAGGTGCATCAGGAAATTTTAAAAATTATTTTTCTTTTAATTCTTTTTTGTTGAAAGTATTACGTATCCTCCCCCGCCTTCCCTCTGAGATTCCGCACTCTGACATCAGGAACATTTTTGAGTGAATAGAGCCAGGCCCCGTGCTTCTGTTTATGTTTGCATATGCAAGGCTCTCCCAGGGAGCGAACAAAGGAGCCTGGTGATGGTGGTGACCATTATCTATTAAAAAATATATTTAAATGAGTAAAAAGAAACACCTCAAAACTAATGAGAGATCATGAGTGGTTATGGCAAAAATAAAAGTATGAGATGTTGCTGTCCAGTGCAGATTGGGAAAATGGGGAGAATTGGTAACACGGGACCTGAATGCCGTCCGGCATGGCTCACAAGCTGAGTCGGCATGGCTCACAAGCTGAGTCGGGTCTCTCAGTAAGGTCTGGCCTGGCCCACCTCCCTCAGGGGGGCCCTTGGTCTTGTTGGGTCACCTGGGTTTCTGGCCCTGGTAGCAGAGTGGGTGGCACTTCATGCTGTCACCTGCTCCAGGGGCACAGAGGTGTTTAGGAGAGGCCTGCTTACTGTTGACCTATCTTTCCTTAGTGAACAGCCAGCTGGCCCCCAGACTGTCAAGGCCCAGACCACCTGGACTGACTTCGTCTCATGGAGCCTCAGGGTGAGAAGCCAGGAGAGGCCGAAGGGGTGCGCATCACCTCCCAGATGCTCAAGTCTTGCTCGGGCGAGTTTGCCCTGGAGTCCATCCTGCTGCTGAAGCTACGAGGCCTGGGACTGGTGGACCTCGGCTGCCTGGGAGAGTGCCTGGGTCTCGAGTGGCTGGATCTGTCTGGCAACGCGCTCACCCAGCTGGGCCCCCTGGCCTCCTTGCGCCAGCTGGCCGTTCTCAATGTCGCCAACAATCGGCTCACAGGGCTGGAGCCACTGGCTGCCTGCGAGAACCTGCAGAGTCTCAATGTTGCAGGCAACCTGCTGGCCGCCCCCAGCCAGCTGCAGTGTCTGGCGGGGCTGCGGGGCCTGGAGTACCTGCGGCTCCGGGACCCTTTGGCCCGGCTCAGCAACCCTCTCTGCGCCAGTCCCTCCTACTGGACGGTGGTCCGAGAGCTGCTGCCAGGCCTGAAGGTCATCGACAGTGAGCGTGTGACTGGGCGTGGCAGTGAATTTTACCAGCTGTGTCGGGACCTGGACTGCTCCTTACAGCCCAGCTCCAGCCCAGGCCCCAGCACCACTGAGGCCCAGCCCTGGGTGGAGCCAGGGTACTGGGAGTCCTGGCCGCCCCGGAGCAGTTCCATCCTGGAGGAGGCCTGCCGGCAGTTCCAGGACACGGTGCAGGAGTGCAGAGACCTGGACCGCCAGGCCGCTGACAGCCTGGCCCAGGCCGAGGAGCTACTCAGTCCTGCGGGTACCGCCTCATCCTTTGTCTTCTAATGGTGTCCCATGGCCCTGGACAGTGTGGCATAAGGGCATGGGGTCGGCACAGTGTGACCCAGCAGCCCACATCTCCCCTCCTGCCTCTGCACTTGTCTTCACTGTTTCATCACGCTGGTCACTGTCCCTGCAAACTGCGCTATTCATTTATCCCTGTTCCTAGGAGCAGACCCCCTCCCTCCCATTCCTACCTCAAGAAAATCCCTGTGTTCTTCAGGGAAGCACTTCTCCGGGGCTTCAAGCAGGTGTGAGGACCCTCCATTAGCAGCTGGCACTGTGTGTATGTCCTGCCACCTATGCCATACGCCTGGGGAGGAGGGTCCAGGCCTTTGTCTGCCACTCCTGGCTGCTCAGGCCTCAGACTGGTGGAAGAAAGCTGCTACTCCCTAAGAGTAAAGGTGGCAAAGGAAGGGATGGAGTGCCCCCCATCCCAGTGGTCCTGGAAATAGGTATGAGCAGAGCACAGAGCATGGACGCTGGCATTTTCCCCTTTCCAGATGTGCCTACCCGCCCGTCCCGTGTCTCCAGGGAGCCTTCACTGCCCATTCTAAGCCCTATTAAATATTTCTGTTTTAATTCTGTTGCATCAGTGCCTGTCATTTCAGGCTCATGAGCTCCTGAGAGCAAGATGATCCCTGCCACCCCTGGTCTCCTGTGGGAAGGAGGAGCACACACAAGCCCCTCCCCCGTTCTGGGTGTCCTGCTTTCTCCTGTGAGCTGCCCAGCCTCTCCGCACTCACCACCCTGCCAGCCAGCTGAGGGGAGAGGAGTGCGCAAAGCAAAGGGAGGAGAGAACAGCTCTGAGAGCATTTTTATTAATTTGGGGATCATTAGATGATCTTCCCTGGGCTGGTTCACTTGTTACATTCCACAGCTGTCCAGAAAACAGGACTGAATTCTAAAGGAAAGGAAAACAACATTTGGGTTTGAGGAAGACCGTTTTGGTCCTGGTCCCAGCTTAAGGAGTTCCTCCCCTCCTTCCTCCTGCAGCCCCTGCACCAGCCCTCTCTTCCACCCAACGCCCACCCAGGGCTGTCCCTGCTCCACTGTCCTCCCGCCCTCCTGGCTGCCTACCAGTCAGGGCCTCAGCCGGAGGCAGGGTGTTGGAGAAAGGCAAATTGTCCTGGGAAGTAGTATCTGTGGGCTCCTTCTTGGGCCTGCTCAATCCTGCTGCACTGGGCCTCCTGGTGCTCCTTGGGCCCCTGCCAGGGCCAGCATTGCTCAGGCCCGGGAGCAATGACCAGGAGGGCTGTCTGCCTCTGCCCAGTCCACCTTCACACCCCCAAAGGAATACCCCTCCTTTCCCCCTTCCCCATTTCACCTCTCCTTGACTTTCCTCACCTTTCTTCACCCTCTTCTCCTCCTCACCCCTCCTCATCCTTCTCAGCCCTCCTCACCCCTCTCCACCCTCCACTCCCTGCCCTTCCTCCATCCAGACTTCTGCCTCTCGACCTCCCCCACAGGCCCAGCCACCTCCCCAACCGCTCTGCTTCCTCCTTTGCCCACTCTTACCTGTCGAGTCTGCATCTCTATGGGGCAGTGGACCATCCGGTCCAGGACTTTAAACTCAGGGTTCAGCTTGATGCAGGCCAGGCATTTCCGCTTCCTCTGGGGAGAGAGGCATGGGGCGAGGAGGAGAAAGGGGTGAGGGGAAGCCGGTGGCCTCATGAGGGTGGAGGCTGGGGGCTGCCTGCAAGGGGGTCCTTTCCCCTGCAGGCCCTAGCAAAGGGGCGAGGGTCATGGAGACCAGCTGGTTTCAGGCCCCGCCCACCCTTGGATTGGAAATTTCAGAAGTCAAACTACCCTGCAGTTTTCAAAACGATGGGACTTCTGTTTATGTAGGCAGGAATCCTCCCCAAGTGACGCTCACCAGACCCGCTCTCCTGTCATCTGTTATATTTATTTGCATTTTCTTGTAAGGTTTTATTTGTAAACAAGGGTTCTGGTACAGACGTCTGGTATAACCTGGCCCCTCCTTTAACAGACGGTGGGACTGAGGCCTTTAGTTCAGGGTTGCAAAGCCACAGGGTTGGTGCTTGGCAGAGCTGAGCCTAGAAGCTGGATGGTTGCATTCCCAGCCCAGGGGTTCCCCAATAGCAGGTTTTGCCCCCAAGATGGTTGGTTACAGTCAAGCCCTGTTATGGATCAGACTAGGCTGGGCCATCTCCACTTGAAGACTCACAGAAGACGGAATTCACCAGGTCTGGGGCCAGACCAACCCGCAGCACGGGCTTCTGCCAGTGACCTGAAGCTTGGGGGAGGAACTCGGGTGATGTTGTCCTCCGTGCCAGTAGCCCACCTCTCCCTCCTTCTGACTCAGGCCCAGGCCCCCCACAGTGTCACACCCACAGGCTCCACAGAGGGGTCACCAACCTCAGGCTTCTTGCTGGATCTCCAACTAAACCCAATTCCATACACCTGCGCCCGAGCAAGTGCCCCCCCATCACACACACGTGTGCACATCTCCACTCACCCCATTGGGCTTGGCCTTGCACTCAGTTCTCTTCCAGTCCTTCTTCCCACAGCCTGTCTGCTGGAGCGTAAATTCCAGCCTCACAAAGGTCCCCGCCTGGGAGGGCTGCCGACAGACAAGACAGACAGACAGAGGAAGGCAGCAGCCAGTTGAGCAGGCAGAGCAATTCCTGGAATGTGACCTGTCCCTTCTCCCCACAGTGAAACAGCACAGCCCAGTTGGTGGCTGGCGTAGAGGCCTCTCTCCAGAGCCCGGTGCTGACAGAACCCAAGCACATTTGCACCTGCTTCCTGGGTCTCTTGGGGTGAGGCCCGAACCCCCTCCCTTCCAGGGGTCGTGCTGCTAACCTTGTCCATGGCGCTGTCCACACTGGTCTTCTGGAAGGCCCACTGCACTCGCGGGTGCTTATGGAATTCCTCCAGGGCCACCTGCAGGCCCTGGTGCTGGGCTGCTGTGAGCTCAGCCCTGCCCAAGCCCAGTGTGCCCAGCCACAGGGCCAGCAGGATCAGCAGCTGCCACATGATTTCACCTCAGTCACCCTGGTCCTGCAAAGGGTATGTTCTCAGCTCTTCATACCAGCCAAGGGAGCCACCAACCCCCTGGCCCTGCACTGGGGGTCGGGGAGGGGGGCATGTCTAGCAGAGCTTTCGGTAAAGATAGAGGGACAGGACAGGATGTAGCCCTTTGCCTAGATTCCCCTGGTATTCCCCTGCCTTTCACTCTTCCCTGCCCTGCCTTCCACTGTTCCCTGGATCCAGCTCAGCCTGGGTTTGGCCCTGCCCTGGGTAGATGCTGAGTAGGCTTTTGTCCTAGGCCAACCGCCAGGGAAACACTCTTGTTGCCCCTCCTTCCCTCCCTCCTCCCTCTTCCCTCCCAACCCCCAACTGCAGGGGGAAGAGGGCGCAGAAAGGAGGCTGAATATTCTGGAAAGATGTAAACACTTGGAGGCCAAAACAGGGCGGGACCCAGGAGGATGCTCACCCCTCCCTGCACAGGGGCTGCCTGTTGCCATGGGCCCTGCCCCTAAACCAGAGAAGGGGGTCCTGCCTGGCCCCCCCTTGGCTATCTCAGGCAGACCCTCCTCGTCTTTTTTCTGGGCCTTCCCCATCACCCCCCTCTCAGCCCCAGGGTGTTGCCTTAAAGCCAGGGCTCTCGGACAAGTTGACAAGCTTGGCCCTTGGCAAGATTCCCTCTTCCTGCCCCTCTCCTCTCCTCCCCCCTCTCGCCTCCCTCCCTCATCCAGCTGCCCCGGCCCCGCTCTCCCTCCTCACCTCCTTGCTGGTGCCTTGCGGAGTCTATTCTAACTTCCCGCGGCGACTTGGGGCTGTCAGCCTTTTCTCCCAGTCCCCGTGCCCCGCCCTCCCCTCTTCCGCTGCCCTTCGGTCCTGTGATCCCGGCCCTGGCCGCTCACCCCGGTGGGCGGTGGGCTGGCGGGGAGCAGGGCGTCCGGGAAGCCTGGGAAGCAGTGAGGCGAGGCCCAGGAGCCCTAGCTCTAGAAGGCCTTGGCGCTGAGGACTCCTCTTCCTCTTCCCCTCTCGCTATGGGACTGCCCTGCCCCTCCCCTGCCTCCGGGAAGGGCTGCCCTTTTCTTAGGCCCCTTGGAGGGACCAGTCTGAGACACTCATTTCAGGACATTCTTCCCAGAAATACAGACATCCTCAAACCAGATGAAGCCCTGAGGAATCAGGAGTCATTCAGTCCTCCCCACTCCCATGCACTAAAACCTACACACACACACACACACACACACACTCACACTCTAGAGGCCTGGTGCACGAAATTCATGCACAGGTAGAGTCCCTAGTGGCTGCAGGCTGCAGGCTGCAGGCTGGAACCTTCCTTCGTTTTGCACCACCCCCTGGTGGTCAGCACATGTCATAGCGAGTGGTCGGACTCCTGGTAGGTTGAACTCCCAGTCGGTCGAACTCCCGAGGGGACACTTTGCATATTAGGCATACACACACACACACACACACACACACACACGTTGATTTTAGAGAGAGGAAGGGGGTGGGGAAGAGAAAGAGAGAGAAACATCTATATGAGAGTGAGACATCCATAGTCTGCCTCCTGCACATCCCTTACCAGGGATCCAGCTGGAAACTCAGGCATGTGCCCTGACCAGGAATTGAACTGACAACCTTTTGGTGCACGGACGATGCCCAACCAACGGAGCCATACCAGCCAGGGCAGGCATCTTGTTTTGAGGTGACGCTGGTGTGTGACAACCTCTACCACCAGCACACAAGTCCAGCCTTGATCCTGTACGTCCTATCTTTAGTATTGGGAGCCTGGCAGGATCTGTGGTGGGATTCATAGGACCAGTGGGGAGTCAGGAAAACAGTGTCCAGAAATTGGTTCAATTCCTGCACAGCTGAGCAAATCTGAGGCAGCACTGGGACTTTGCCTATCAGTAACCAGGAGGACCATTTCTCTGCTTCCGGGCCCTGTCCTAATGCTGGACATAGAGGATCTCATTGAACTTCCAACCCCTGGAACTCCTGCTTCCTTCACTGCATAGAGGGATCAGAAACCCGACCTAGGGGTTGTTGTGAAGAGAAAATGAGCAAATGTATGGAAAGTGGCTGCTTGTGTTCTGGGTGCCAAGTGGGGTCAGAGGCTGAGAGCAACATTAGCCTGGTACCTTGGCTTTACCCTCCTGCTTTCATTTGGGCCATTGACCTCACCTGATTGCACTTCCACACGGGAAAGACTCTAGTCTCTGGCAGTGGTGGAGGGCCGGGATGTGCCTCCAATGCCCCAGCCTCGCTCTTGTCTCCGGTGCACCTGGTGCCTTCTGGTTCAGAGAGTCCTCAGGGTTCAGACTCACAGCCGTGGGCAAACTACGGCCTGCGGGCCGGATCGGGCCCATTCGGCTGTTCTATCCAGCCCACGGAGCCGAAAGAGCGGAGGGTTCTCTTGCCCTTCCCTCCACTCCTTCACCAGCAGCAGTGTTAACATGGCAACGTCGGGAAACACGGCCGCAGCTCCTTCTTCTGAGTCCAGTTTAAGAACCCATTGTGGCCCTCGAGTCAAAAAGTTTTGCCCACCCCTGGTTCAGAGGATGCCTTTTGCTCCCACAGATCACCCCACCCCGTAGGAA